CTCTGACAATTTGACTTCAAGCAGCCAAGCCAGGGGAATGAGGCAGCCATCCCTGTGAAAGAGTGTGGTGAACTAATGGCTTCATGGAGCAGTGCTATTTAATCAGCCTCAGGATTTTCATCTCTTAGCTGCAGATCATCTCTGTTCCCTCTACTGTGTTCCCTTCCTGCCCACAATCAATGCTTAGTGTGCTGGCTTCTGGCCTCATGGTTTAAAAGTGGTTCTCTGAGATGGGAAGATAGGAAGCAGGAGAAGAGTGAAATAAGAGAGCACCAATGATACCTTTTTAAGGTTTTTTTTTTTTTCCCCTTCTAAACAGAAGGGAAGAGCTTTCCCAGAAGCTCTCTCAACAACTCAAAAGTGTCACTGGGCCATCCTGTGCTGCAAAGGTGGCCCCTGAGTGGCCCCTAATATGGAAAAGGGCAGAGAGAAGGGGACTGGCAATGGGTCATGTGCTGGCTGTCCAGAGCATCTTCCCTGAAGTGGAAAAAGCCCTAAAGGATGTGAGAGACTGGGACCCATAGAGATGAGGGCCACATTAGGTCACACTCATCTTCCCGATAGGGACAGGTGCTTTATTAGAGGAAGAAGCTCAGTTAGTCTTTGTACAAAAATGACAAGAGAAGGAAATGGCAGGTAGAGTGGTGGTGGCAGTGACTGCCTCTTTCAAGAATAAAAACAAGGGCCTGGGGAGATAGCTAAGTAGAATAAGCGCTTGCCTGGCAAGGTCCTGAATTCAATCCCAGTAACTACAAAAAAAAAAAAAAAAAAAAAAAAAAAAAAGAAAGAAAGAAAGAGAGAAAGAAATCAAGAATAAAAACAAAAAGTGTGAGTGAAGCCATCTGAGCCTGCCAGCTCTGCAGATGGTGGGCACAAGCCTGTGTAACTTGCTCACACTTCTGCTGTCCGCTGTTTCTCAGAGTGGGAGAGCTCATGTCCAGAGATCCTTCATTGCAAACTGCATTTCAGGAGAGGGGCCAGGAAGCTGGCTCAGGTCCTTGTGCAGTGCAAAGAAAGAGGCCTCCTGGGCTGTGACATCGACCCATGGGGACAGGACTGAATAATAAAGGCACCATTTTGAACACTTGCTTTGAAGAGCTGCAGGAGCCCAGTCACCAGACAGTGGCGACACCAAGTATTGAGCTCTGGTCTTAGCAGGCTGCGTGTCCAATGGGAGCAGAGCACTGTGAGCAGGGCCAGGAGGTAGCAACAGGGGTTATCAGGTTCAGGGGGACCCACCTGAAACCCAGTCTTTTATAGCTAGAAACTCCTGCTCAAAGTCATAACACTCTGTGGTAATAATCCTTGCTTTTTACTCCTGTGAGAGCCCCAGGGCAGGAATGTCCCCAGCTCATCTTTCTCTCGGTATCAAAAGAAACAGCCTCCTCCTCCTTCTGGATTACTGGAGGTGGTCCTTCCCTGAAGCAAACATGTCTTTGTGTTCTCTGTTGCAGAAATGGCACACACTTGCAGCACACTAGTTTACAGAACACTTTTTCTGGGAAGATAGCTCAGTAGAATAAGCGCAAGGGCTTGAGTTCAATCCCTGATTCCGGGGGGAAAAAAAAAGTAGTTACAGAACACTTTTTCCTACAGCTTCTTCCTCTGGAGTTAGCCAGACCCTGTCTGGCCATTCCTCTAGGAGAGTCCACCTCCTCACCACTGTGTATCAGTGTGCTGCCAGGTACTGTTCTACTTCAGTCTAGGTCCCTCCTCTCATGGTTCCTCTACCTCTCAATTGTGCTGTGGGCTAGAAACCCAGTCTTCACACAGAGGACTTTGGTCATTCAAGACCCAGACTGTAACAATGTTGACTGCAGTATTCAAGAAGTATAGTAATTTCTTTGTGAGCATCTGGCTTGATTTATACCATCAGTGCAGTAGTTGGAAGCTTGTCCTTGCAGCAGGTATTAGCGCTTGAGCCTCTCCCTGTCTCTGCCTCTCTCTTCCCTGGTCACCATGAGATAAGCAGCTTTGTTTTTTTCCCCCCATAATTTTATTGATAAACAAATAGCAATGAGACAGTTTCAAATCATATTGGTAGGACAGTTTCAATAATTCACACATTGCATACATTCTTCCTAGTGGTTAATTGCTGTATAAGATGTGGACATGATATCCTATTTACAAACACCATTAGAACAAATCCCTCTATTCATTAATAGAATGTAACTATATATCTATCCTAACCACTTTGAATACACAGATACAAAATGGACATTCATCTGTATCCCCTTTTTTTGTTAAGTTCTGTTATTTGAATATTATAGGTGTGTAAACTCAGCAAAATATTCTTTTTAAAAAAATTTATTTATTTATTTATTTGTTTGTTTGTTTGTTTGTTTGTTTGTGTGTGTGTGTGGCCAGCTCAGCCCACCAGGAGGCAGGGCTGGATGGCATGTGGTACTGGGGATTGAACCGCAGTCCCTCTGCTTTGTTAAGCTTGTTCTAAGTAGGTGCTTTAGACCACTGAGCCATCTCACCAGCCCTCAGCAAAATATTCTAAAAGAGTCCAGTAGCCCATAATAGTATTGGGTCTTCCGCTTCACTGGCAATGTCAGAAATTGTTGACCTGAGTCCCCTATAGCTCTCAACATAACAGCATGGCTTTACTTCTTATATTTCGTTTTTATATTTTTCTGCTGGATGGTTAAGACCAAGGTAGAGCAGGACCTATGCAACAAGAGTTGTAGCTTTTGGGTCTGATAATGTCAGTGAAATCCCCCCAGGATTTATCCTGAGATCCTGTACCTCAGATTGTAGAACCTTTGTCAGTGGCAGCCATGTGGATGAGTTAAGGCCATTGCTTGGCCAATGTGCTCTCTGTGAAAGCCTGAGAGAATGTTTTCTCTCCAAGTGACTCTCCTTAGGCATACTCTACATCATTGATCACTTTCCCCTTTGGCCCCATAATCTCCTTGATCAGAAAATTTGGGACACTACTGAGTTACATGACGTTACAGTACAGGTTCTCATATGTCCTGAGTCTTAACTGTAGCAGCTTTCTTTACCATGTGCTCCCCACCATGATGACCTGCCTTGCCACATGCTCACAACCTGGGGCCAAGCCATCAATCATGGACTGAACCCCTTTAACCATGAACACAAACTTTTCCTCCCAGTAAATTGATTCATCTCAGTTATTTTGTTACTATAACAAATTTCTGGCTGACAGAACATAGTGAATGAATCAAATGACACTGATTTGTTCACTTTAAAACAAGTAAATGTATGTTATGCTAATTTTGACTCTGTTAAAAAAATGCTGTATTGCTATACTTTTGATGTCCTTAAGCACCTTTTACCATCAGCTTTTCTTCTCATACCCTGTAGACCAGAAATAGCCAGTTGATTTTTCTCAGATAAGGAAACCTGAGATTCACAGCTGTGTAAGACCTGAGGTATGCTGCCTAATGGACCAGTACTCATGCTGTAAAGGTCCCAAATCACACAACTCAAAGGCAGCAATGAAAGCAAGGGCATCATGGGGTTTGAGGAAGCTACACCTGCCTCATTATCTCCGTGTCTGTCTGAAATGAGGAAGGAGCTTCTTTCTTAGAAACAGTGTGGCAGGAGTAGGGGTGGGGTGGGGATAAGAGTAACTTTGCTAAAGCATTTCTTCACTGTTTAGTTTTCATGGGTATAAATCAATGTTTTATATATGTGAAGCTGGGCACCACACTAATTTTATACCATTTCATCCTCTAAAGAAACTACTCATCAGCCATTATGCTCCACTCACTGCTCCTCCTGCCCCATTTCTGCCTTGACAGATATTCCCATGCTGGATATTTATATATATGAAATCATGTAGTATACATTGCTTTTGACCAGTTTCTTTCACTTAAAATGTTTTCAAGGTTCACCCATACTCCAGAATGAATCAGACCTTCATTTCTTTTTATGGTTACCTAAGCCATTTCTGAGCACCCAACATCTTCCTGTCATTTCTCTGCTGTCTGCTATGGAGAAGAGAGGACAGTGACCAGAAAAAGGACAACAGAACAGCCCTCATGTGGTAGGGGCCACAAACAGTCTCAACATTACCCTATAATCTTCTTTCCTGACTGGGCACAATATTAGGTAGTTACTGCTATTTTTTGATGTCTTTGTCTTCCCCTATTTGTCACTCCTACAAAGTGATAAGGAAATGTCATGCCATGTCCATTTGGAGAAGAGGAAGTAGAAGCTTCACAAAAGAATAGGACTTAAATTCAGCATGAATTCAAGCACCTATAGTATTTAGATGGCAATAGAATACCCACCTCTGACAGGACTAAATAAAAAAAAAGGGATATAAAGGAACGACAATTTTGTATTTGTATATACAAATTAGTTGGGATAGATATACAGCTACTTTTCCTTAATTCAATGAGAAGAAAGATTTGTACTAACAGTGTTTGGACAGGATATCCTGTCTGCTTCTTGTACTGTGGATAACCACTAAGAAGATAACAATGTACAATGTATTAATTATTGAAACTGTCCCATTAATCAACTTTGAAACTGTCTCATTGATATTTGTTTCTCAATAAAATAAAAAAAGAATAAGACTTAAACAAGGGGCCTCATCCCATCATCACTCATCCATCTATTACTCAAGGTCAAGTAACCAAATACTCCCACCAGGGAAAAGGCAAGCGAACACTTAGTGTATTCTCAATTTCCCGGATTCAGGGCACATATTTAAGTCCAAACTTGTATTCTTTCTGCCATCAGGCCATGTCTTTTGTGGTTAGATGGCATATACCCAGAACATAACCTACATCAATGCAGACACTCAAGATGGCCAGCTTATATGTCCCTTGCCATTCCTGACTTCAACACACTAAAATCCACCATAAGCTAAAGAAATAGAGCAAAGCAGTACTCAAGTTATCTGAAGGCCCAAAAGAAGACCAAGTCTTCTACGATTTGGGGCCTGCTAAAGAAAAGCTTCCAGAAGGAGTGATGACCTTGCCCAACCCACTGCAAGCATACCATCCAGACACACTTCTTACCCTCCCTTCAAACTTGGCTGTGGCTCCTTCTTTGACACAGAGGTTCCGAGGGGGCAGAATGAAAGCAGGGGCCTCCATCAGTGGCATGGAGCTAATCCTTGAAGTATCCTCACTTAGGGAGGTTTTGGAAACATGCGATGAGGAAACCAACTTCACATCCCCCATGATCTGAAAAGGAAGAAAGGGGACCAGGTCAGATGAGGCTGAGCACAGCACTTTCCCCCTATAGGTGTCACAGCCCAGCCTGAGGGTATCGGTCTGATGAGAAGCAGGTGACCAGTCAGCCGGTTGTTCACCAGAGGCTTAGTAACTTCTCCACAGGAGGCTCAGAGAGAGGCGTACTCTCTGAGGAACCTTCTGCCTCTTCCTGCTCCTGTCTTCTAGAAAAGGAAAGCCAGACCAAGAATAGGGCTAGTGCAGAGGGGTTTTGGAGGTTTTTTTTTGTGCAGAGGTATGACAGGTCTCCCAAATCTGCACTGAAGAGTCACTAACCCTTCTGGATGGCCAACTACATGGAGTTGCTCGTGTAGGAGGTAAAAACTCAACTGGCATCTGCACTCCAAGAAAGGAAGGAGCTGAAGGTTGTTATGGGGAATGGAGCAGAGAATCTGTGGTTGAATGAAGGGACAGAACAAACTGGTAACTACATTGTGGAAAAGGCTCAAACATCAGAAAACCTCAGAAAAAGGAAGCATTTTATCTGTTTAAAACAGGCCCTTGGGTCACTTGTTCAAGGGCATGGGGCAAAATGATATCATCACTGGCAAGAATACCTCAAACTCAGACTCCTGATACAGGACTGAGATAAGACCAGACACGATGTGGCTGCCAGGCTCACAGGAACAAGGGGCCTGATGCAAGAAGCTAAAATTCATAGCTACCCACTGTAGCAATGTTTGACTCTTTTGGAATGTTCAATTATTCTCAAGTTTATATTCATTTCATGGTAAACCCTGGAAAATGCCAATGTGTAAAAATAATAAACTATCATTTACTGAACACTCACTCTGTTCCAAACACTACAAGGAAGATGATACATTATCATATTTGTCGTTTTTTACTTTATTGATGTTTTGTTGTTATTTTGAGACAGGATCTTGCTATGTAGTTCAGGCTGGCCTTGAACTCCCAATAATCCTCCTGCCTCAGCTTCCCTTGTGCTGGGATTACTGGTGTGAATCATCTCATCTGGCTTACTTCATTCATTTTTGACTGACACATAATAATTGCATATATTTATAGGGTACAGTGTGATACTTTGAGATACACATATATTGTGCTATGATCAAATTATAGTAATCAGCCTGTCCATCATTTTAAGCATTTATCATTTCTTTGTCATGATAAAACTCAAAAGCTGTTTCTCCAGCTATGTTGAAATGTACATTATTGCTAACTATAGAGCCCCTACTATGCAACCGAACACCAGATCCTATGCACTTACTTAGCTGTAATAATCAAAGCCTAATTACCATTTTGCAAATGAGGAAGATGAATTTAGGAAGGTGGAATGAATGACCCTTTCCACAGTTGACCTAGGATTGAACCGTGTTTACCAAATCCTAGAGGCATTTGCCATACCAAACAGCCCAAAGGAGAAACATGGGGAATCTTCTAAATTCTATAACATAACTCTATTTTCATGAATGTAGGAAAATATGCATTTTATCTGGTAGAAAGAAAAAAATATAGAAAAACATTTTTTTCTCACAATTTTTCTTTTTTTTTCAAAGTTTTATTGATAAACAGATAGCAATGAGACAGTTTCAAATAAAATCTCTCACAATTTTTCTTAAAGCTACTTTTAAGAAATTGAATTCAAAGTATTCCGCCATATAGTATATGATTAGTTCCCTACTGTTGGCCACTTGGATAATTTCTAAATGTTTTATAAGAAGAAACTCTGCACAAGCCTTTTTGGGACAAGATCTATTTCTGAATTCCTAATTATTTCCTTAGGATTTCCTTTAAAAGTGGAATTATAGCTGAGTACTGCTTGCATCTCAGCACTCCAGGAGACTAAGGCAGGAGGACTGTGAGTTGGGCTCAACTTGGTAAAACACTATCTCAGGGAAGGAGAGAGAGAGAGAGAGAGAGAGAGAGAGAGAGAGAGAGAGAACTCAGTGTGTGAAGGCCCTTGGTTCAACTCCCAGGACCTGAGTTGTTTGTTATGAACAAAAGAAATGAGTTTTGGCTCTCCTAAATAAAGATGGCAATGATGATGGGGTGGCAGGGTCCAAAAGCCAGAGGACAAGGTCAGAAAACAGGCTGTAGTTGAGGGAAGCTAGGAAGTCACACTCGTCACTATTGTCACCCCCTGGAACATTTCCTAACTATGCCTGTTCCAGGCTCCAAGCTCAGGTGGGGCCTTAGCAGACTGAGACAGCTCCAGATAGGGACTATATCTTACTGCAAAATCCCTGGGGCCTGGCACATGGCACAGGACACAAATCTGCTAATGGGAGAGATGCCAGATTCTTAGTTTTTGCTTTTTTGTGCAAAGCAAAGTTGTGCATTTCCTTAGCTATTCAGCCACACAATTAAGTTTCAAGCTATGGGTAAGGCAAAGTGACTCAAAGAAACAGCAATACCTGGGACACATAAGTAGTTTGTTTAAAATTAATATCTAACAAAAATAAAATAAGACTATCTTTTGAAGTACAAGTTACAAGAACAGGGTGACCAGCTTGGTAACAGGTTTGGCAAACCTAGTTTTGTTTTTCACTGATAAGGAATTAGCTTTGCAAACAAAATTCCTTTCCAATTGATGGGACTCCCCCGGCTCAGGGCAGTAAGCAATAATAAAAGCAAATACTTACATAGCATTTTCTATACATCAGGAACAGTAGTAAGCATATTTGATCCTTACAGCAACACCATGAAACAGATAATTTCACTATTCCCATTCAGCGACTAGCAAGCTGTGACCAGTGAGACTAAGAAATCTGCCAAAGGTCATATATTTAGTAGGGGGCAAACCTGGTGTCTTGAGCCCAGGTGTGTGGCACCTGAGCTCCTGTTCCTACCTGCAGACCCTCCTGCTTTTCACAGCATTCAGTGTTGGCTGGTAGGAAGAGGATCTGAAGCTGACATAAAAAGGGAGCAGCAGAGAACTGCTCAATTTACATGCATGTCAAATTTCATATTAAAATTAAGATTTTCTTTAAATCCAAATACACTGTCAGCAACATTAAATGATGGATGATAATCTGAGATAAATGTTTGCAATGAATATGACCAATTAGAAGATATATAAGAAGAAATTACCCCAGCAGACATATTGACAGAGGTTATGACAGACCACGGAGCACAAATTACAGGTGTGTAATCAGGCATGGTGGTATATGCCTGTAATCCCAGTGCTGGTAAGGCTGAAAACAGGAGGATGTCTATGAGTCCGAGCTGCACAGTGAGACCCTGTACCAAATGCATTTAAAAAAAAAAAAGGACAAATTTTGGATGAACCAATGTAAGAGCCCAAGCAATAATACAAGATGATAAATTAAGAACAAGTAATTACTATTAAGCTAATCAAACTGACATTTAGAAAGGAAAGACAGCATACTGTCAGTGGTGGTAAGCCTCCAGCAGTGAGCTGTTTGTATCATTGAAAGTCTAGAAGGTTCGCCACCACTGGCATACATAATGCAGGGGAGACCGTGGCGAAATGAGCATGCACATATCTGCCGAGGGGAGATACCAATTCATGTGCTTTTGAGAAAGCAATTTGGAGAATAAAAGAGATCCTGAAAAATATCTCTTTTTTTTAATTTAATGTATTTGGTACAGGGTCTGCAGGGTCTATAGGGTCTCACTATGTATATTGGACTCGTAGTGATTCTCCTGTTTTCAGCTTCCCAAATGCTGGAATTACAGGCATGCACTGCCATATCCAGTCTCAATCCCCACCTCAGCGCACCCTGGGGGTGGGGCCAGCACAGCACACTCCTTCCCTTTTCTTAATAATCTTATATTTAGAAATGCATTATTAAGAAAGAGCAATTGATGCAGTTTCAAATTTATATGTAAGAACACTGATTGCATTATTTATTGCAGATACTAGATGTATTTTCAAAATGTGGTTAAATACCCAACAGAAGAATTGGTTATATTCAGTGGAATGCCAGACAGTTAATTGTATGGGTGTATATTTACAAGGAAAATAATGACATGAATGTAACAATACAGAAAGGTTAAAGAACATGTTATTATGGAAATTTTCAAACATACAGAAAAGAGGAAAGAATGATAAAATGGGCAACCCAGATATTTACCACCTAAATCAACATTTTTTTCCATATTTATATTACTGGGTTTTGTGTATGTTCGTAGAACCACTTCAAAATATCATATATTTTTAGTTAGCAAAATAATTTTACATATTTATGGGGTACAGAATGATAATTCAAAATGTATAATGATCAAATCAAAATATTTAGCATTTCTACATGTATCATTTCTTTTTCTTTCTTTTCTTTTCTTTCGGAACAAGGGATTGAACTCAGGCCCTTCCGCTTGCCAGGGAAGCACTTATTCCACTAAGCCATCTCCCCAGCCCTCATTTCTTTATGTTGGGAACTTCTGACTCTTCTCTTTTAGTTTTTTAATAAATATATAATAAGTTTCTGCAATCTATAATTACCCTGTCCTGCCATCTAACTATGTCTTGGTACCTGCTGAGGTTTGCACCTGGAATGTTGTTCAAGGGCGCATATGTTAGAGGACTAGCTGCCAGCTTGCAGGGCTACTGTGGGTGGCGCAACCTTTAGGAGGCGGGGCCTACTGGAAGGAAGAGAGGTCATTGGGGGTGTGCCTAAAGAGGACATTGGGACTCTGGCCCCTCCTCTCTCACTGCTCAGTTCTCAGCTGCCATGAGGTGGGCAGCCAACCCCAGCACACACTCCCCACCATGATGTGCTGCCTCATATAGGGGCCAATGATTATGGACCATGGTCTCTACAACTGTGAGCCAAAACCTTTCCTTCTACTAGTTGATGTTTTTAGGTGTTTTGACATAGCAACAGAAAGCTGACCAAAACTGTGTTGATGATGCAGCCTCCCTCTATGTCCTTTACTCCTATTTTTTCTCCTCTATATTTATCCTATTCTATGCTCCTTTTCTATGGAAAACAAATTTTTATCATCCATATGACTGATAACATGTAGTGCTTGTCTTTCTGTGTCTGACTTACTTCACTGAACATGATGTCCTCCAGTTTTAATTACTTTCTCAAAAATGACAGTATTTCATTATTTTTCTGGGTGAATACTACAGTGTATATATAATATACTTTCTTTGTCCATCATTCATTGAGGAACACTATGCTTGAATCTATACCTTGACTATTGTGCATAATGTTTCAGTAAACATGGGAGTAAAGGCATATCTTCTCATATATTTATAATAGCAAGAATCAGGATAATATTCATTAACTCAAAATGCATTTATTATTGAGCATCTAAATGGGCCAAACTAGGTGTAAGATACAGAGCAATGAATTAAATGTGTGGGGGTGAGTGTTATGTGTGTTTGTATTTGTGTGGTATGATGTATGGTAGATGTAGTAAAATACAGTAGGAAAGGAACGGAGTTCTTTTATTCTACAGCATAGCTGCCTAGAACCATAGCCCAGAGGTAATACTGCTCTTTCTATCTCCTCCTCTGCCTCTGAGGTGAGAGGCAACAGATACATGAGGAACATCCAGGACCAACACTGTGGAGGAGGCAGAGCAGGTAAAATGAAGATCAGACTTGACCCTACCACAAATCTAGGGGCACTTCCACTTTCTATCTGTGGGCCAGGCTGGGTACTGTACATTTTCTTGGCATCTGTCTTCTGTCAGTGAGAATACCACCACCTCACAGGGAGGAAAGGAAGATTCATCTGGATTGTACATATGACCACAGTATAGCATAAAAGGCATTCCGTAAGTGGGAGCTGCTGGGGACCCACGCTAAAGATCCAGACTCTGTTACAAAGGAGAGCAAGAAGTCAAGACCACCTAGTTATCTTCAGGCAAGGTATTTGCACAAAAGGTAGACAGCAGAGTTCAGGAGAAGGCCAGGAGGAGGCCTGAGGCCCACACTGACCACAGAGCATGTGGCCGGTATCATGCTATGCACCAGTCTTGCTCAATCCCCATAGCTCTGCAAGCAGTTTTGACAATTGCCCTTCCTCCAATGAAGCCAAGGTGGCTCAGAAAACCAACTAGGCTTGCCTAAGGTCACTTAGCTGAGAAGTGGGACTGCACCCAGGATCTGATGGCAAAGTCATACTCCACTGGCTTCCTGGAGGCTCCCAAGGTCCAAAATGAGGCATTTCTGACCACCTCCAGTAACAGGCAAAGACATAGGCAAAAACCTGCCAGAGAAGGGGGTATGGAACAAATTGTCCTTGTCTATCAGGCCTGCTTTGGAAGACAAAGACTTCCTGATTCCAAGAGAGCTAGAACCTAGAGATGTAAGATCAGGCCCAGGCCCTCTACAATGTTTCAGGACCTGCTTAGGTTCATCTAGATCTCCTGAAGGCTCCATGCTCCCACCTAAAGTGGGAGAGAACCTTGAGTCTGGGATATAAATCAGGGGCACTGATCTGTTCAGCAAGCCTGAGGTCTTGAGTTCGATTCCCAGCTCCCCACCCCCCAAGGTACTTCAAGAACATAGAAGGCAAGAGCCATTAATCTTTAAGAAGGGGCTGGCTTCAGGCAGAAAAGGGACAAGCCAGTCAGTACAGCAAGGAAATCTCCAGGCCCTACCGAGATGCTCTGGGGAGGGTTACTCAGCCATTGTACAGGCAGAAGCAAAGCCCAGTCCCCAGCTGGCCAGTCCCCGTCAAATCCATTCACCCTCAGCCCATTACCCTGTCCACTCCTATCATCAGCGCAAACAGAATCCTGCCATGCTGCCAACTAATGGCCACTGACGTACTTGGAAAAATATTAATAATAAAATAAGTCAAGCCAGGACTGGGATGTAGCTCAGCGGCAGAGAGCTTGTCTAGTGTACACAAGGCCCTAGGTTCAATCCTTAAAATAAATGAAGCCAGTGTTTTTATTCCTTGCTCCTTTCCTTGTGACCACTAGCCTGGGGGAGAAAACCAGAGGGGCTGGGTGATGTCTGAAATACAGTCTTTTCTCTCTCAGCATAGCAGTGCTCACTGGCTAAAATCAAACACAGCCACCCCACAGGGTTGCATTCAATATCAGCTAAATGCAGATCAAAGGACAGAGGCAGAGGAGGAAAACCAAGGGAAGGGGCTCAAAAGAGCAGTGTCTCCAGAGTTGAAAGTCCCCTCCCCCGCAGATACTGAGGCAAAAGTATCTCCAAATGGAGTTTTTCATAAGTAACATGATTATTAATCACTCAAAGCATCACCGAGTTAATTGGATTTTAATTTGATCGAAAGCATTTAGAATTGTCTCTTGACCCCAGAAAGGAACACTTTTAACTATAGCCAAAGGGGACTGCAAAAAGACTGGGGGTAGGTTGAAAATCAGGGATCAAGTTACACAGCAGAGTTTCCTTCTGTATTCAGAGTACACACACTTTGAATGACCTCTTCCTAAACCTCCCCACCTGGATGTGCAGGACTTCCTGGAAGTACCAAACCTTTCTGCAGAGAAGGGCTCCAGAGTGGGCTTGGAGGTCTGCAAAGAACTACCCCTGCTTCAGCACACACCAGAGGCAGCCAAACCACCCATGTGCAAATGCCCCGGGCACTGACAGCTCACTCTATCCTCCTTAATCCTCCCCTCAGTGCGCTCAGATCTTGACAAATGCCCTAATCGCTCCTAATCCCACAGGGAGGTGCGCCCCTGGCCATGCCAAGCTGACTTGCCACAACCCACCCTTGACAGCACAGCAGGACAGGGCGACAGGCAGCAAACCACACACCTTACAGAGGCCTCTTCCCAGCAGCTGTCACATAAGGCAGGATTCGAGGCAGCTGTGCTTCACCACTGTTCTGCTGCGATTCCTGTTCAAGGTCTGGTAAGAAAGGAGAATACAGAGCAGGAGCTACAGACTCCAGGGCCAGACTGAAAAGCTAAGGGGCTTTGTTCTAACTCTGCTTGCAGATGTTGCAACTTGCCTTCTGCCAGGCAGCCAGCTTCACTGAGGAGATCTGTTATTCTAATCCGCCCAGCTGGGGTGACCTTTGAAACCTCTGGCAGCCACTGCAGCGACTCTCAATGGAGTCCTCAGGAAATGGAAGTTCACAGGTTTTCACATGTTCAGAGCCACACAATCCAATCTGAGTACTGAGCAGAGGGAGGGCCCTGTCAGGCACAGAGCTGAGTCCTCGCATGGGCTGGGTACTCCCCCAACTCCACATCTGGCCTGGAACACTCCTCCAACCCCTTGGTACATTTGGCTGGGGATTACCACTCAGTCCTCATGAGATATTTGCTTCCCCAGCCCCAGCCCTTTCTTCTTTTGACTAAAGAAGCCTTGTTTATGATCTCCAGAGTTAGGAGGCAAGCTGGAGAGAAGGATGGAGTGGGAAGAGGAGTGCTGTGATCCTGTGAAAGAACCAGATTGAGATCTGAGCCGTGGTTCACATAGATCATGAACTCAGGAGAGCCCCGGGAGCCCTCCCAGTGCTCACCACTGCAGTGTGATACAAGTGACGCCCAAGCCAGACCTCCAAGTGCCAAAAGAAACTCCCATACAGCTCAAACTTTGGGTCACACTGTGGACATTTAGGTCAGGAATGACATGAACGTAAGCTCATTTGAATGTTGGATTCTTGAGAAACTGCTATTCTCTTAGGGAATGCCAAATCCTGCAGCTTAGTAGGTCTCAAAACATTTTTAGTGTCAGAACCTCTTTATACCACTCAAAGTTATCAAGGACCCCAAAAAGTTTTTGTTTGTGAGTTGTTGCTAACACAGTTTAGTATATTAAATGAGACACAGTGGTGCATATCTGTAATCTTAGCACTCTGGGCTTAAGGCAAGAGGGCCATAAGTTCGAGCCTAGCCTGGGCAAGTTCATGATACAACGAGGGCTTGTTTCAAAATAAAAATTAAAAAGGACTAGAGATGTAGCTTAGTGTGAAAGCTCTGGGTTCAATCCCCAGTACTTCCCCCAAAAAAGTGTTATTACAAATTAGGGTATTACAATGTACTGCTCTACCAAAATAATAATAATAATAATAATAATAATAATAATAATAATAAGCTTGAATTATTTGTACAAAAATGGATGTACCTTGAGATCATAATATTCAGTGAAACAAATCAGACCTACACGCTTAAATATTCCATGGTTTTTCTTATAGGAGAAACAAACATATAAGTAAAAAACTAAAGAAAATAGGGGGATAGGCCTTTTGCATATGGGAAGGGGACCCAGAGATGGTGGGAGGTGGGAGGGAATAAAAGGGATAGGGATGAAAAAAAGAACTGAGATACGTATGTAACATAAACCAATTTCCAATGAGGAATGGAATCACTAGGTATTACACATATGCACTAATAAAAATAAAAGCAAGATAGCAATGTGTAATAGAAGGGTCATGCTTGGAATGCCTGTCATTCTGGTCTTCTAAATACATACTTCTTATCATGACATACCAATTATTACCACAGTGTCTCTCAAGTAAAAGTTTTTTTTTTAATTTTAATAAAGGGTAATAAATGAAAAAAAAAAAAGACACACATAAAAAAAGTCACAGGACTGTCCTGCTACAATGCTGTATAAGGTTAGATTTCTAAATTTCTGTGTAAAAATGTGTAAGTGCTTATTCCTATTTTTTAAAATATTTTTTGGTTTTAATTTTTTTCTTCATATTTTGTAGGGACTTAAAGTTTAACATATCAATACTTGATGGAAAATACCTGTTCCATGTTATGTCTAAGATGTTTGATATTTAGACAGATAGGGTAAACCAAACTGCGTATGTTGCAGGGTAATAATAAGCTTCTTTTCTGAAGGGTTAACAACCTAAGTTTGCAGATCAAAAATTGGAGAAAAGGAAGGGCTGCAAGGTCAGCCAACATTTTGGCCCTAGCCTTTCAAGGTCAGTGAAGACTCAGGACATACGAGAACATGTACTGCAACATCACGTAACTCAGTTGTGTCCCAAATTTTCTGATCAAGGAGATTGTGGAGCCACAGAGGAATGTGATTGATGATATACAGTGTGCCTAAGGAGAGCCACATGGAGAGAAAACATTCTCTCAGGCTTTCACAGAGAGCAAATTGGTCAAGCAATGGCTGTGACTCATCCACATGGCTGACACTGACAAAGGATCTACAAAGCGCAGTACAGGATTACAGGATAAATCCTGAGGGTACTTGACTGACTTTATCAGATACAAAAGTTACATTTCTTGTTATATAGGTCTTGCTCTATCTTTGTCTTAACCATTCAACAGAAAAGTATAAAAATGAGGTATATAAAGTAAAGCCATATTAATATGCTGAGCTGTGAAAGGCTCTAGCCAACAACTTCTGTGGATAACCCACTATTATTGTGGACTGCTGGACTGTGTTGGATTGTTTTCCTGAATTCATGCACCTATAGCATTTAGATGCCAATGGAATACCCATCTCTGACAGGACTAAACAAAAAAAGGAGATACAAAGTAAGGACCATTTTGTATTTGTATATACAGAATAGTTAGGATAGATATACAGCTACTTTCACTTAATTCAATGATAAGAAAGAGGTGTACTAATAGTGTTAGGCAGGATATCCTGCCTGCTTCTTGTGCTGTGGATAACCACTAAGAAGATAACAATGTACAATGTATTAATTATTGAAACTGTCCTATTAATCAGCTTTGAAACTGTCTCATTGATACTTTCTTTTCAATAAAATTTTTAAAAAAGAATGTATAGTATGGAAATATTAAGAAAAGTATCTTGTTAGACTATCATGCCTTAACATACTCGTCCATGTTAAAAATTAATTATTACTTGAAATTATGTATCTGGTAAAATGAATGCTACAATACAAAAAAATAAATAAAATTTAAAAAGCAAATTAGTATATTAGAAAGTAAGTGAAAAAAAAGTAAGTGAAAAATTAATTCATCTATAAATGACAATAATAAGCCTATATGTTAACATAATTTCTCCTTTTGAGACAGGGTCTCACTACATTGTCCAAACTGTTTTCAAACTCTTGGGCTCAAGTGATCCTCCTGCCTCAGACTTCCAGATAGCTAAGATTACACGCGTACATCAACGTGCCCAGCAACACAAATATTTTTAAAAGAAAAATATATTTCCTGAAACAAAAAAAATCTAGTAAGAACAAGTGTTCAGTTTTGCAATTTTTTAATGTTTTGGGTACCAAAAATAGGGCACTGTTCATGATATGAACAGGCCCTTCCTGACCTACACACCTCCACCCTGGCCTATTGGAAGGCAGCTGGATTATCATATTGGCATCTCTTTACTGAAATATCATAGTATCTGCAGCTGTTGGAAAACACCACAGTACAGAGAGAAAATAAAAGTGAGAAAAGCATAGCACAAGCCTGTGCTCAGGGAAGTTGAAGCAGGAAGATCACAAGTTTGAGTCACACCTGGGTAATTCAGTGACTAGCTGGGCTGCAAAACAGTCTCAGGGACTCCCAAGAGTCTCCAGGGAGATCTTTAAGAAGTCTGCTATTGCCAATCTTTCAGCTTTCTCTGTTACAATCCACTCTCATTCTGTTCTTCATGTTTAATAATTTAATTAAATTTAGAGACAAGCTCTGGCTAAGTTGTCCGGGTTGGCCTGAACTCCAGAGCCTTCTGCGAGTAGCTAGAGGTATAGACACATGCCATTGCACCCAGTACTCCTGTCCTTAAAATATACACGTGGAAAGGGATACACAGTTTTATGATTAAGAGGGCTGCACAGCTTTAGGGATGGTATGGTTTGTGTGCCTCATGCAGTCATGGGGGCAAGTTTTTTCAGAGCCAACTGGATCTAGAGTTTGTGACTGATTCCTAGTGCTGTGCTGGGATTAAGGCTGGGTGATTGCTGGAGCAGTCAGTGATTGGATTGGCACCTCTCTAATCCAAGTAACTAGGAAAGATAAAAGGGGCAGAAAGAGGCTTGTTTCCCTCTTTGGTTCTCACTTAGCACTTTTTCTGTTTTCTTTCACGATGAACTACCACCCTCTCATGTACCACCCTGCCTTAGAGTCACCAATTATCGGCTAAAACTTCCACAAACTATGAGCTAAATAAACCTTTTCTCCTTTAACTTTGAGTGTTGGGTATTTGTCTCAGCAACAAGAGAAAAGTAACTAACACAGGGGACAAACGAAGAACAGAATGAACTTCATTTTTTTCTTCCAGAGATAAAGAGATATGCAGCCTGAGGCAGACATTGATGAAAATACTTTCAAGTTCGTTAAGTCTTGGCACAGACTAAATGCACACCCAGCCTCCTGAAGTCCTTGTAGTTTATGACTAACAAAGGAAGAAATCAAAGAAGCACTACCACTTACCCTGGTGAGTGCAGGTAGAATTTCTAGTTGTGTGCAACACAACTGGAAAATCATTTTGATAGTTTTTGGTGTTTTTTTTTCTTCTTGGTACTGGGCATTGAACTCATATCTTTGTGCTTGCCAGTCAGGTGCTTATGCCACTGAGCTATCTCCCCAGCCCTGGAAAGTCATTTTGAACTGGACAGAACCAGAAACAATGATTTGAACAAAAACATGGAAGTTATGTTCTGAAACTTAAAGTTACAGTAAGCATCTAGGAACAGCTAAAGTGCTGGGTGTTAAATATAAGCCTGTAAGATCAGCAAAATGGACCAGAACCTATGAGGGAATCTAAAGGAAAACAAGTTTAATTCCTATACTTAGGCTCACAAAAAAAAAAAAAAAAAAAAAAGTCCAAATTCAAAATAGCTTTCTGGAACTTCTGGCCCACTGAGAAGAGGCTGCATATACTCACCTCATCCTTTATGAGTTCATTCTGCACATCACAGCAGTAGCCATGTGGGCAGGTGTTCATCTGATGCACATCTGTGTCCCTGAGTACAGCTTGGGCTACACTAGGCCTTAGGCCTTCTGTGCCCCACTTGCTAC